ACAAATATATTTAAGTAATTTAACATTTTTGTTGACATTTTATAATTCAATCAGTTCAGACTGTGTCTAATGAATGAGCCTAATAATTTGTATAATTACATTTTTTCAAGTTAAATGAATATTTTTTGAATTTTTGTGCTATTTATAGTGCATATTTTAGAGTTTTTAAGTGCATATTAAAGAGCTAAAAAGTAACATTTTTAGTGCTACAACTTCCGATCCCTGATTATAATAAATAATAATTAAATATTAATAATAATAATTAAATTTTATGTACAACTAAATAATAATGGACTAACGCGATTAAAGAGTACAGGTAATAATTTTACATATTTAAACACATTATTTTAAAAATATTTTATTTATAAATAGCATTACAATAACGATGCGAATATGGTCTATAAAAGAGGGAAGGTACAGGTGATGAACCACACTAATGATCATTTACAACGCTCGCATTAATATAACCCCTTAAAAACGGTCCGTTTACAATGCCGTTAAATACGACTGGTTTTACTGACGTATTTTAATATCTTAAAGATTTGAGCAACACAAAATAAAAAAAAATAAAAATTAGAAATAAATGTTTTGTAAAATATATCCATATATATAAATGATACGTGTGAAAAATAAGCAACTCTAATTTTGTACTATTTTCCCAGTAAACATTATTTTTTAAAATCTTGAGATGATATTGCTTGATGTCGTATAAAAGTGAGAAAACTAATTTCAAAACAAACTACATCTACATGATAGCAGTTAGATAGTAGTTATATTTTACATTTTAATTTCAATTACTGTAGCGTGCTGCTCGTAATTAATGCTTAATTTTTTTAATAACCGTCAAAAATGTCATCACATTTTGCGTGTTTTCCGTAACCATTAGGTTGTGTTCAAGAATTTTACAAAAAATGTGTCAAAGGGTAAAACCTATCACATATAGCTACCCAAAGCCGTGATATCCGATTGAACACGGTCGTTATCGGCCTATCTTTTTGACGACCGGATTGAGTACGGTAAAAAAAAAAAATATTGTGAACAAAGTTGTCAGATTTTTACTAGTATGTATTGTATGTATTGTATTGTATGTAGATTACTAATAGGAAACTTAGTCGAAAAAAATTTCGTTGTCGATTGATGGGTACCAACGGAATTTTAAAATAACTTTGATAGATAGGAAACCAGAATTTTATCTACAACGATTGAACTGTTATTGTATGTACCTACGCTGTAAATAATAGTCAGTCTGTTGTCTCGTGTGCTCGTATTGTATTCCTAAATAACGTGTATTTTGCAAATTGAAATGGAAAATAATGAAATAAAAATTATTTTATCCGAGAAAGGCTAAGAGTTAGCTAATGTCGGAGCTTTCAAGTATAGGTTTATTGGGATTAGAAAAAATGGTGAATTATTGAAATATTCTACAAAGCGTACAAAGCGGCAACGTTGCAAACATTTTCGTGCTCAATCATGTAGTTTTTTGATTTTTTTTTGGTTCCTATTGTTTGATTTCAACCGTGCTCAATCAGGTACCAGCCTTACAAATATAGGATATATATATATATATATTTCACATCTGAAATAACTATAATAATGCAGTTTCGATGTGAAAAACGTGTCCGTTGATCTGCCATCTTCTAGTGTGACCTAACGTAATAATTAGAGAACGGATTTATATGTAAATGCATAATTTTATTAAAACGAGATATTTAAGATTCGATAAGAAATGTTTATGATTTAAATCATTCCTATTAAAATGATGATACTTTTATCTTACATATTTTTACATATTTTGGTATAATAACATATTTTTACATATTTCACTAATTTGTAAATATTTTTAAACATATTTTTATCATTTCATCATTCATACGTCTTCTTCGTACGAAAATATAAGAAATTATTTTAAAATTAAATCCAGAAACTTCTATCGCTATTGGAAAAGCTCAAAATATTATGCAAAATGAAACAATGAAAATAATTTAACAAAATTATTAATAATAAATATGTCCCCAAATGATAGTATACAAATTATTGAATCAGCGATTAAAACTCGTAAGCGGACCAATAGATATTGTAAAAAAGAAAATTCATGCTGTTATAGAAAAAAATTCCAGGCTATATTGATTTTTATCATCATATACATATATATGTTATGATACAATATAATATAATGATTGATTTCAATCATCATTTTAAAACAATCAGTGACATAATGAGTGGCAAACGCCGTTCTAAAAATTTGGAATTATTGCTTTCTGATAGTATGCGCTTGAAATATGCTTTTAATACATCGGTTGATGTGAAACGATAATTTAACCGTTTTAAAAATATTTTGATACCTAATAGGCGACATTTAACATTTGATAATTTAAAAGATATTGTAATAATTCAATGCAACAAATTATTTTTACAATTTAATAATAATAATAATTTTTTTTTAAAAAATTTTTTCCCCACTTATTTGGATGTTTTTAGCACATGTTTTATAAATTATACTTACATATATATGTACATATTTCTGTAGTTTTATTACATATAAAACCGTTTCCTAGTAATAATATAATTTGCATTTGCTGTTCGCTAGTAACTCCTGTTCACGCTGCATTACAATCCCGTAAGTTTTCGTTTTCGACGTGATTGTAGTAATTACAAATAATTGTGACCCTGTGTTATAATGCATTCCTAATATAATACTTAAATACTTACTGAGAATGTTATGTTGTATTGAACATAACGTGGATACCGTGTATGAAATTTATAAATTGATATTATTTTACTATTATGTAGGTATGGCATAATATGTATAATACACTTATTATATACATTATAATCTAACTATATACATTTTTACTCACTATTTTTAAAACGTTTCGTAAGTTTCACATTGCTCTCGTGCAATGCCGCAACGAATAAATATTGTGCGATAGTTATCAATGTAGATAACTTTTCATTTGATAATTAGAATTAAAAAAAAAAAAAATTCTTTACCTTCCTTACCTTCTCGACCTTCTGCAATAAACTTTTTGTAAAACAAACATTTTATATAACAAAACAATTTATTACACTGAAGTTATAGTTGATGTCAATAGTCATCAAAATCGAATTAAATTTAAATTATACTCTAAAAACATACATACAAGTCGATTATTACTTCTACATCTGCAATAACATTAAGTTCGGTTTAGAAAAACTTTAGCTGTTTAGTTTTGAATATAGTATTTCAAAAATACACATAAATTTCAAACTGCTCAAATTTAGTAAATATTTAATTGTTGTCATAATATTATTTTACTTTTCAAATAATTCTAAAAACCATAAAAAAAAAAAAATAACAATTTTGTAAATGCCGAAAAACAGCTTAAATTGAATTGCTTTATAGAAGTATAGTAAATGTACGTCATTACTTTATGTTTTTATTCTAACTCGACACACTTGATTCTACATGTAAATGCGTAACAATATCATATATTCATACTTCGCGTAAAAACGTAACCGACAACCGTGACAACGAAAGTCTTCTTCGACCATTATCGTGGTTTTCGCGTGTCAAGGTGTGTACAATTAGACCTTTAAAATATGAAATAAGTTCTGTAAAACGTTTATTTTTACTGTAAGTATTATAAAGTATTTTTAATTGATTTTGAGGGTATCGATTGCATTTTATGTTGTCAAATGTGAAAAATATTGTTAAATTTAGATTCACAAAACGTTGTTGTTGGCTTTATACTTTGATGAAAACAAATTAAATCAAACGAAGAAAAAAAGAAAACCATGTGATTAGAAAATAAATAGAAAATATGTTCGATTTTGAGTCGCGGTCAACTGTTTAAATATTTCTTTGATTTGATTTCGAGTTACTATTTAGTGGGTACCAGAAGACTTGGGGATAACTTAAGTCGTAGGTACTTGGCATCAAAAAATCACCGAATCGACTCAGCACTCTCAAGTGTTCTGTCCGATAAAATAATTGTTTAAAACGCAATGTTTATAATTAATGTACAATGCATGTTACTAAGGTGTAAGAAGTATTCTTAAATTTATTTGTTTTTTTAACGATTTTTTTTATGTTTTAAACTCGATTCTAGTGAAATTTAGGCCACCCTCCCCTCCTTTCAATCGTTTTGACCGGTTATAGTGATGAGCAATAGGTACACATTTATTTGGATTAATTTTAAATTTTTTAGTTTTCCTCAGCCCACAGCAAATACTTTCAGACCCGGTACACTGGGCGACCGACCCACGCGCATAGTATTAGCTATAGTTATAAATACGAAAGGTCTAACACACACATGTCATGCGTAATTGGCTGGGATCCGGTGAAACGCGGGCGTATGCGCCGTACGGGGCATCGTGGACGACGTATCAGATGCGCGAACGCGGAAAAATAATAACGGCGACCGATGAACACGCGGCCCGCAGCTGACGTGACGCACTTCTCACGAGCACAAAACAATGCGCGAATTTCTTGGCGGCCACGTACAAGACGATTGTACCGCGCGTGCACAACGTCGCATCGTAAGGCTGTAGCCGCTGCGTACCGGTCTGATTATGACGAAAAATCAATTTTAAACGCGCGGGCGCGCGTGCCATATTATCACCTGACTCGCGGTTTTTCACAGCGCTTTATTGTATTCCGGTGTGCAATAACCTTAGAATATACATGATAACATACTATGCATATGATATGATATTATATGGCGAAAACACACTAACAACATAATTGTAATTATAATACATTTTTTTAATTTTTTTTTTTTTTTTATTATCTTCCGTCGTCGCGGAGAGCTATACACACGCGTACAATAGCTGCCGCGTATACTTGCGATTTGTATTATACGTATAATAATAATAATATACATTGAATGTTCGTCCGAAGCGTCTTAATTGATAATGACGTGACGTTTCATTCAGACGCAGCAGTACACGTATAATATCAACAATCTATTATTATATCGTTATTGTTGTTGTTGTGTCATTATTATTCATCGTGTTCGCAGATGACCATCTGGTATACCGGAAAACTCCACCATTGACCCAATAGCAACGTATTAGACGCTTTAACGTACTACGATATAGATACAGCTGTTTCGGCTAAGGGGACTATGTCTACGGCGTTCCCGGGAGCGACGGCCACTTCAATGGCTGCGGCGGCAGTGGCCGCGGTCAGCGACAACGGAGGTGACGCCAGCGTGGACCGTCAGCCACCGGACGTGGTGGCCGCGGGCAGTGTCACGGGAAACGTCAGGCACGTGAGCGTACCGCAAATGGACTCACGTCCGCGTCGCCAGGAAATTATGAACAGGCCGTCCAATAAGGATCTGATGTCGTACCAGCAGCGACAGCAGCATGGCCGGTCAAACAGCGTGACCACAGACAGGGGACACCGGACGTCCGATCGTCGGTCTCCTGCGGTCTACAGCGGTGTCGGCAGTGGCGGCGGCAGTGGAAACAGTAGTGGTGTTGGTGGTGGTGGTGGCGGCGGCGGGTTGAAGAGCAAATTGCGTAACTCGTTCAGGTCTACCGCCAAGAGGATCCGGCAGCAGCAGTCGACCATCGATGCGCTGGCCAAGAACAGCCAAATGCTCGGACTACACAGCCTCCAGGAAAACCCCAGAACCATGGCTGCGCAAAGGACCGTCGGTCGGGTAAGAAACCACACCGGTTTAAAACACTAAGATGTAAACCAAGGGTCACCAATTTATATTTTTGGAAGGTCACATAGAGAATATTGGAAATTTAGGAACAAAATTCAAATTAAATATTTTTTATGTATAAATATGCAAAAAATATTTGGCAAATTATGTATATTAAGTCTCATAATGGCATTTAATATTTAAAACATTAAAACGTAGCTATGTATAGTGTAAATCAAACAAACTAACAAAGCCCCTGAGCGATTCCTGTAAATACTCGTAAAACTCGTCTACTCAGGCAATAACTATCTGTTTTCATATTTAATGGATTTTTTAATCCGTAATCATATAAAATCAACAAAAAAAAAAAAAAAAACGAATATGTATTCTCGTAAATTAAATCCAAGTAAGTTATAACAGGAATTAATCAACGCGGGTCGGCGGTAATTGACGAACTGCCGTTGACGTGTAATCGGCACGTTCCGTAAATAATAACGCTCCGTCACTCATTCAAACTTTAAGATATGAGCGATAAGATATATCTGGCAAAAAATATAATATCTGCTCCCTCCCCTAAAAAAAAAAAAACCAATGTATTTTATAATCGATTTTTACTTTTTTCCTTGTCTACGGACCGGATAAAATTTGTCCGCGGGCCGCCATTCGATGACAGCTTATGTAGACTATACTGTGTTGTCAGGGCCGGATTAACCTAGGTGCAAAAGGAGCATTTGCTCCAGGGCGACAAATTTAGTGGGCGGCATAAATAAAATAGCCTCAAAAAAATGATTTAAGATCGTCATTAATACAAAAAAAAATGTCCAATTTATCAATTTTATTTGGATTTAGTTAAGGAAATTAAAGATAAGAACTAACATAAAAACTTGTAACTATTAAATTCATAAAAAAATATAATTAAAAAAAAATAATAATTTATAATATATACATAGTTATATGGTTACAATTTTTTTTTTTAATTGGCGTTAATATTAAAAATTATCTGTATATTTTGAACCAATTATAATGACTCATTATTTTCCATTAGTTTAAAAAAGTTCTTTGCAAAACTATTAAGTAACATTTAACAAATACTTATTTATACTTTTTAGTATAAGTCGATTAATTATTATATTAGGTACCTATATTTTATAATATATATTTATAAGTAGTACTTTATTTTTTAATTTTTACATAGAAACCAGGATTTTTTTTTCTCACTTAAACTTTATTTCTTTGAGGGTGAATTGGGGAGCAAACATTATTTGCTCCAGAGCGGCATCGACCCTTAATCCGGCACTGTGTGTTGTTTAAGATGGCCAAAATTGAAAATTATCGAAATGACGTATCTCACACCATATATTATAATAACAATAATAATAATAATATTTTTATATAAACTCTGATAAAATATTAATTTAGAACATCGAAATATTCCTGTTACGTATACGATTATTTTATTGCTAACTTATTTATTTTCGTATAGTCACCTGCTGTTCAACTGAACACAGTGGCGAAAATCTAAGGCAGTAAAGGAGGTGATTTCCCCCCTAATTTGGTAGGTGGGGGGACAATTGATTGATAATCGCTGGTCAATTTTCAGACATATCAATACGTATACATCAATACACTTATTTTATTTAATTATATATTTTGCGAGCGCAGCGACCTTCCTCCTTCCCCCATAATTACAACTAGTTTTCGTCATTAGCTGTACGATTAGGGTTCGATGACAAAAAAACTATTATATTTTGCTAATTAAAAAATAAGTTATGAATATAAAAGAAAGCCGTTGGTACAATTTCAATAAATTTCAATTGATGTACATGTGTGTTATAAAATTTCAGAATCACCGAGTCCCTGGGATGATCATTAAAACTAAATAAACGAAAATGTATTCTTGTGTAACACGTAGAACATCGATGTTCTAGATTCTAGTAATTGAATAGTGACGTATTTTAGAAGCTGATAAGTGATCGCAGGATTGCTCCTTAATGATTTTGACTTTTTAGTGTACCAAAAAGTTTCATTTTAAAACTATTTTAAATAATATGTCAATTAATTCATGATATAGCGCACTGCATTATATAATGCAATTTATTTTTAAAAATAGCTTCTATCTCTAATTCAAAATTCTAATGAATTCATCTGAAAACACCCTTATAACAATTTATGAGTGTTTATTATTGGAATAAATAATTATTTATTTAAGTACTCCGTACAATATTTCATACAATTTATAATATTTATTTAATTATTCATAAATGTTTAAAAGTTTTAAGTAAAAATTATAGTACATCAATATATACTATACTATATACTCATATTTTAAAATATTTTAGAACCCTAAATAACTGTTGATGGATGCTTAAGTTTAGACAGGCCAATAATTAATCGTTATATTTAACATTAATATAACAATTCATAACCTTACTTATATAATGTACTGTACCACTCTTAAGTTAGGTACCGCATTATGACATCTACAGAGATCGCCAGGAAAGATTACATTTGCCAACATTAAAAGTGTGCCGTCTTGAATCGATTCTTAGTTAGCAATTTTATTTTTATACCTTATACGGGCTGTTCTAGAATATATCCTAAATTATATTTATTTAAACAAATTTTTTTTTCTTTCAAAAAAATTTATATTTTAAAATAATTGCTTTCCACATTTTAAATACTCATATATTATGGCCCAGTGAATACCGGTATATTTTAAAATTCAAATAATAAACAGAAGTGAAAAGTAAATTTTTCATAGTTTGAAATCAATATCACCTATATATTGTCATTATACTCTATAGAGTTGTATACAAATCGGTAAATCGAAAAGTCGATTACCTAAATTTATGTAAGCTCCATTTATATTTCGAATCATCGAAATTCCACTGTGTTTACATTTTTTTTTTTTTTTAATAAACTTCTCGTTTAATTGAGAAGGGACTGTAAAGTGGATAAAACATAGTGTATTTTTGCGACTGTAGGCATTGAATATAAATAACTTTGCGCCAGTTTATACACAGTAGACGGATACCATGTTCCGGAAGTTCTATCCATTTGGCGTTTAATAGTTTCACAAAAGTAATTTTGTTAAACTAACAACGTCGAATAATCTAAACGATTACTATGACGAGAACTTCCTATTTTAAAACCAAACCGCGAATGTAGGTATTTTTGTATTATTATAATATTATTAAAATATAATATCTGAAAAATTTTTGGAAATATTAAATTTCAAAATAATGCATGAAGTGGCTTCTACATATTTAAATATTGTATTGAAGTAAATTTGATTTCAGCGTTTATGTAAATATAAATGCATTTGGTATATTATACATATGTACAAAAATTATGATTTTATCGGTTCGATGTAGTGACATATCCGGGGTTTCTAACGGGTGAGGGGCAATAAAAAATTTTTATACAATTAAATATGTAGGTATTATTTTCACTAAAAAAAAAAAAAAAAAAAAAAAAAAAAAGTAATAATTCATACACTTACCTACTTATTATTTGATCACTTGTAATACTAAATACATCTTGCTGATATAATGATTATAATAATTTATTGATAACATCTTAATAAATATAAGTCAAATATTTTTAATATTAGGTATTATTATGTACAATTAACCTCGGTTAGGTTGATGTAGAATACTCGAGGTCCATCGCTATTGATTGCCAAAGTAAAATACTATCGATATACCTAATCGAATCATGGATAGTGCATACGATAGTAAATATATTATAGACAAACAAAGATGTAAAAATCAACTATACAATATGACATTATTATTTATTATGAAAACAATAAAATTGTATTTTAAAAACTTCTGTAAGAAAATTGTTTCCATAAGGATTGGTTGCAGTATATAAGTTTTGTGTGGAAGTCAGAATAAAAAAAAATTGTGGATCATGTTGTTAATTATATTATTGATTTGTAAACACCTTAATTCGTACACAACATATCATGTATTCATATATATTTATACGTCAGTATATCAAATAAATACAATTCAGAACTCTGTACAATATATAAGCTCAGTTAATTTTTCTTGTTAAATATCATAATACCATTATCGTAATATAACTTAAGCTTGTAGTGCTTTGAGCAAATATGTTGTAAGCACAACTTTTAAAGTTACTCTCGGTCTTATTTATGTCTATATTTTGAAATAATTGAGTGCATAACTGTTATAATAATCTTTTTATTTGATGAACGTTTTTCTTTTATATTCTTAATGGTTATTTATTTTGTAGGTATATAATCATATACTAAAAGTTTATTGTATCCATTTTTTAATTCGTTATTAAATCACTTAAAACCAGTGACGTTGAAAACGTACTCCAAGTAGTTCAATTGAACTGTTTAGAAAATTGCAATATTAAAAAAATAAATAAAAATGTATTTACTTATATATTACTTGGTTAATGTTTTCTATTTAAAATAAGATATTTTTAATTGATGCTTAAAAAACTTTTGGGTATTTGAAAGGGTGGTAAATTTAAAATGGGGGTGGGTAGGTCAATCTAATTATTTGAACTAGGAGTTTCAAGTTAATTTGGCGCCACTGCTTAAAATCTTAAAATATAATCATATTTTTAAATATTTTACTTTTTTATTGGATAAATAACTTAAGTCTAATTTATTTTGTGTAAACAAATATAATTATTGAATAACAGTTATTATAATTTTACATTAAGATGCACATCCAAAACATAATTTTCTTAACTTCAATGTAAAAAAATGTATTATTTCCCACGTTATTCAACAAGGAAGTAATTCTTTATGCACAACAATTTTAATATAACTGCTGAATTAAACGTTTTCATACCAATAAACAAAATACAATTTATTTCAAACATATAAAAAAATTACAATCTACCTACCTCTTTTAACAGAAAAAAAAACACTAATATTAATTTTATTTTAATTATTTAATAAATATTATTTTTGTATACAAAAGATATAAATTGTTAAAGAAAAGTAGATTATTCTTAGAAAAATAAAATATCTTTTTCTTAACTAGAGAATAAAATGTTGTATACATACAATCTAAGACTTATAAATATTAAAATTTTATTAAAACGTTAATTCAATATAAAAAAAAACCTTTTACTTACTTCTAGAATTGAAAAAATAAAAGGAAATAAAATAATTAAAATAAATTAAAATAAAATAGCGTTCCCCTTACGTTCATAATTCGAGTAATAGTTTTATGATTAATTTAAGTATGTAACTTAAACCTTGCAGTGTGTTAAGAATTTAATTTGTTGAATTTAATCCGGTTTGGACACCATAAACACAAAAATATAGGCATTATCTTTTGACATGTCATAAAATGCGTTTTTGATTACCGATTTCCTTGTCTGCAGTAATAAAATATCCAGCAGCCACTTGTTTATTTTCATGACAAATACGTATTTTCATACATTTCCGCGTATATATCTTTACAGCGATATGATGGATACCAGACACCATCAGTTATATATACCGCCTACCTATACCCATGACTATTGAATATTATGCATTGAGTATGGCTCAAATCCAAATTCCTACGCGCGGAAAAAGATGAGCAAAACGTTTCGCCTCATGGAGAACTAGTATTCCGCCATAATATTTGTCGTATTCAAATTTCCGTCGAAATATCGCATATGTTCCATAGCTCACGGCTGAGTTTATTGGCTTATTACACATGTTATACTTGTGGGTTTTATGATTCCGGAAGTCTTGCATATATAAAGCTGTAACGATCCTGTATACGTGTGCCCACCGTGGAACACCTTTATTAACCTAATGACTACGAACGAACATCGGACGCTGTTTATTTTCTTTTTGGATCTTGTAAAGAAAACATGCGGTTTCTTTAATACTATGGTCTTGAATATATAAGTTTTTTTTTTATAAAATCTACCTAATAGATCCTTAAAGATTTGATTTTAAAAATCAAAAATATGCCTGGATCGTTATCTTTGGTAACGTTTATTTTTGATAAATATAATATATTCCTATAGATATCACTTGTTGCTTCATGATTAAAAATATTTAATTTTTCTAATTGGTCAGGAGGTTACTGGTCAGACATCAAAAAGACATCAAAATCAACCGGGTGCGACGGTGTTGTACTCTTCATCGGGAAGCGACAATAGCCTTGGAAGAGAGAGATCGCCGACTATTAGCAGTTATCCAAAAGGATCTCCTACACAATGGGCAAGTGAGTGAAGATATTCATTAAGATATTCATTAAGAATTTTTCACTTTTTGGTACAAAAATCTAATTTTTTTAAGTAATTTTCTTAATGCCATTATTATTAGTTTATCATTAATGATTTGCATTTTTATACTTAATGTCATTCATTTTTCCCATAGTGACAAATCAATTGTTACCATTAATTTATACTTATATAAATATAAAATTATTTCGCTCTATCTCTTCTTCTTCTTCTCTTTTACGGGTTTATATCTATTCCGGATATATCATATTAGCAATGTTGTTCCTATCAAGTGATGCCCGAAATAATTCAACTGATGTTTTATTATATTTTTGCAATTTCACTAAATTTAAATATTTATATATAACATTATAGCAATTATTACAATTATTCTTTTTAAAGATTTAGAATTTAAGTACGGTTTGATTTGTATAATATTATAAGACACCCTTCGAATAATTTTCGTCACACAGTCAGCATGGTTTTAACCTATCTTATCACCATTACAACAAAAAAATAATAAAGTAAAATTCTAAAATTTTCTTCAGACAAAAATTAAATACAGCAATTTACATAAATTTATATATATATATATATCATCACAATATAATAATATTCAATCAAGTCAAAACTTAATGGTTTTTATCATATTTCGAATCATCTCCTGGTCGAGTGCACTCTTCAAAATCGATGAACAGAATGTTTCACCCCACAGGCACTGGCAGCCCATTAGGCGGTTCTCAATTTTCGTTGGCAACGCCAAGCACGTGTTGTTGTCAGCACATGATCAACAATTGCAACAAAATGATGGAAAATAATAATAATATGTGGCAACAAAATTCGTTCAAACATAATATGGTAAGCATATAATTAATTTAATTATTTTTTATACATCTGACACTTAAATATATATATTGGATATATAAAATTTAATAAATTGTATTTTCACAAAAAACATAATTTTCATGCTGTAATATTCATTAGATTTAAGTAATAAATAAAAAATAAAAAAATTTAAAATATATGCTTATGTAAATAAGTAAATAAAGTTGTCTAAGAAAATTATCATCGGAACTCATAACATAATGAAAACAATCTGCTTAATGTAATCTGAAGTATTTTTATCTCCGAAGAAAATCATTATTTTGTTAAAGTAAAATTACTGGAAAAATTACAAAACAGATTTTATCGAGATAAACTTCATGCAAAAAAAAGATGAATCGTTGAACCATTACTCATAAATACTATGAACTCTGTTTTATATATTTTTATTTCTTTACTACAACGTTTCCAATTGTATAACTTGTACAATTCTACACAATTAATTAGAAATAACCTTTTGAAAAAAATGATATTGTTTTTTTTATATTTCAGGGCAATAAATCAGGGCCGAAAAATTCTAATGGAGAGCCATACGAAGACAGTGATGGTCTAACGTGGAGGAGATTGCACATGAGCAGAGCAAAACTCAAAGCTACAGCTACCACGTCTGAATTACTATCTGGATTTGCAATGGTAATATAATGATAAATCATTTTTGTAGTTTTAACAATCTATTCAATTTAAAAAAAAACATTTAAACACTACTTATTGTTTTATAAGTATTATTGAATATATATGTACGAGGGCTATTCAGAAACTAGGGAACGTTTTGTAATAAAACAAAAACTAGGTACAGGAAAAATATTTTATTATATACATCTGAAAGAGTGACTAAAATGCTACTTTTCTACATAGCCACCAAACAAATTAAGGCACTTATCGTAGCGGTGGACAAGCTTCGAAATTCCTTCGTCATAGAAATCCGCCGCCTGCGATCTCAGCCACTGAGTGACGCACGCCCGGAGATCGTCGTCGACATCAAAACGCTGTGTCGCTAGCCAGTTCTTCATCTTCGGGAACAAGTGAAAATCACTCGGTGCTAGGTCGGGACTGTAGGGTCTGATCGTTACTGCCAAACATTGCGCAAGCTTAGAAGAGCAATGCAAAACAAGCGCCGAGGAAAGTTATCGTTAAAAATTTTGTTTTTTCATGACAATGCCCGACCTCACACGGCAAATCGAACTGCAGAACTTCTTGACTCATTCAAATGGGAGATTTTCCCACATCCACCCTACAGTCTCGACCTAGCACCGAGTGATTTTCACTTGTTCCCGAAGATGAAGAACTGGCTAGCGACACAGCGTTTTGATGACGACGACGAGCTCCGGGCGTGCGTCACTCTGTGGCTGAGATCGCAGGTGGTGGATTTCTATGACGAAGGAATTTCGAAGCTTGTCCACCGCTACGATAAGTGCCTTAATTTGTTTGGTGACTATGTAGAAAAGTAGCATTTTAGTCACTCTTTCAGATGTATATAATAAAATATTTTTCCTGTACCTAGTTTTTGTTTTATTACAAAACGTTCCCTAGTTTCTGAATAGCCCTCGTATATATCAGTTAATGTAACATATTTTAACAAAATAAAAATTATCATGCGCACATGTATTATAAAAATATTTTCATGGAATTTGAATATTCAACGATAATACGTATGTACCATATTTGTTTAATATCAGACATTAAAATTTTACGTGGTAATAATTTTACATGAAAAAAACAAAATTCTAAGTGGTAGTATTTATTATTTTTTTTTTTTTTTTTACTAAATACTCATAATCAAAAAATGCCTAATTAATTTCAAGTGGTTGTCGTGTGTTTTTTTTTTATGACGTTTGTACGCTAACGCGTTCGTTAATTTATATTTCATTTAATGATATTTGAATGAAATAATGTAAAACACACTTTGATTGGATTGTTTTAGAAAATACTCATTTGCCTTTGAATGAATAGTTTAATTCAATTTTTTCATAACGAACAAGCAATATATTATATATAAGCTTTCACTTACCTCCTATACACAACTTGCGTTGAATAAACATTTAGTATTTATTATTATCGTTATAAATAAAATTGAAATAAATAATTTATATGTATACTTATAAATTATATGTATACATATAAACGTGTGAATAAATAAAAATTTAAATAGCATATATTTTTAACAAAACTTAATGTCAGTTTTTTATAAATTTGTATGCCATTTCATAATTAAGCTCACCCAAATTTAAATTTTACCATATTTCGTATATTATAGTATATTATTTACTATATTATAATATTTTACTCTTATTCTTAGCAGGTCATATGTATTGAATTCCTAAATATTTTACAATTCACTTACAATCATGAAAGATAATAAAATAATCAATATGACGTCAGTTTATATAACGACTATTCTTTTTCTATGAATAATTACAAAATTATCATAAATCATTTTAAACTATATTATAATCTCTATAAAAAAAAATTTTTATGGTAAAATATATCAAAGTAATATTATCAAGCAAGTAAACGTTATAATACGCAGATAAATAATTTAAATACATAGATTTGGCTGTAAAAAATCATAAATTTATAATGAACAAACACGTTTAACATATGTGTCTATATAATATCTATACCAATAATAAAAAAATCTGTAGATAAATAATATAATTATACTCCTATAATACCTAGTTATAGTTTGAAGTATTATTGCTGTTAATAGCAATAAACTGAATATAAAATTTTAATTTCTGTAATGGTATGTATGAGTATATACTCATATGACTAATCAGTTGAGATTTGACCCCCTTTAAAAGTTTAAAACCAAAAATGGTATTATTTTTTTTTAATAACAGGATACATATGCAAAGAAGAATATTATATACAGATATATTAATATAGAACAATTAACTATTAATTTACATTATCATATATTTACTTGCTCATTCGATCGTATATTCATTGTTTATAATAAATTTAAATTTATTAAATTATATTTCATTATGAATATACAGTGAAATCTCGATAATCCGTACTCTTCCAAAATTATCGTCGTTCGAAATTATTCATCTAAAAATTGTATTAAGCCGCGTTCACACCTAACAAACATTTTACAAACGTTTGGTAAAACGTTCGTCAAACATCCAACATATCCAACCAACATATTTGCTGAATGTTTGTTTGATATAGACGTGTTCCCAAACAATTTTGTTTGTGAATATCCCAAACAAAATTGTTCGTTAATTATTCAAATATTGTGGCACACATTCTGTGAGAAACAAAATTGTTTCATGAATAATTATGAATGCAGCTCCTACACACGTGACTTGCTCTAGAGACGCCATAATCAAAACTGTAGATTAATGAATTGAGCAAACATAAAGCGAACAAATAAAAATGTTTGTTATTTTGGACGAACGTATTTTTATATTACGCACATTATATACATTATCGAAAAACCTAAACGACCTTTTCGATGATAAAAATATAGCCATATATGTCACAGGTAGATAAGCGTTATTTACGATTAATAGAGACTAGATGTTGACTAGATGTTCTTTAACAATCATATTTATCTTATCACGTTATAACTAATACATTTCGAATTTGTTCCATACTATTTAGTGTGTTTTTAGCACTTGCTATAGCCGTTTCGAAAATAGTCATTAAGAAAATAACATTGTACACACATAATATGCATAGATACAACATTATACATTTTTTCATGATTAATTTAAGAAAATGTCTTGATTAACCGTGTTTTTCATTTATCCGTGTTACCCTTCACCGTCATTACCTCAGATGATCAAGGTTCTACTGTACTAATTCAAACTGTGGCGTAACTGGGAAAAAACCTAGGGAGGCAATATAATATATTTATTATTACCAAAACCCTGACACCCCTCCCCCTCACCACTTAAAACATATTTTTATTGTATGTATTTTATACACTATAACTAATTGTTTGATTTTACATAAGTCTTTTAACTCATTTTATAGTTTAGATAAACATAAATTGTAGGTAGCATGTACTAGGTACCAATATTGTTAAATAATATTCATAAGAGTTCATTATTAAAGGTTATAATAAAGGTAATAAGGTGCTATTTGTACTGTTGGATTATCTGGGGGAGGGGGAAAAATTATACCTTTATCTCTCAAAAAATGGTCAGAGGGAGCACTTGCCCCCCTTGCTCCCCCACAATTACGCCACTGAATTCAAAAATCTATTTGGTGGCATATACACACATATATTTTGCTCGTATACAAATAGATTAATGTATGATGACAAGCCATTGTTACAACGTTTCAAGGGACCGCCCGTTTAGTTTTCAATTGAAATAATGGATAGACTAACAAAAATAATCCATCCTCATAGTCCCATACTCCAACGCTGTATTACGTAGTGAAATGCAAAACTTGGCTGTATGTAGATTCAAAGTTTGTAAACGATACATCTAATAAATATATTATGTACATTTTTCGTAAATAACTTATAATTATCATTACCACATAAATGACACCTCAATGACGGTCACTAATTTACTAATACATTTTCAAAATAGTGGTACAAAAATAGTATATATAAATTTAAATTTTACTGCAGCATTAATATATTAATTATTATTAATAATGGCGCATTATAGTACGGTCGTAAAACATACATTTTTCTAATTCTAAATCAATTCTACAGAAAATCCTTCATACACAAACACAACCTTATAATATTTGTTAAAGAACTAATTCGGATGAGTCGTGAGAAAACTCATATCGGTCTGACGAGTTTTAGAATGTCGTATGAAATAATACTTTCCAATTTTATAATACAATACATGATTTTACTTGATACGTTTATATTATTATTATAAACGTATTAAGTAAAAATTACCACGAAATAAACATTGAAACTTATTTTGAAGTAAAAATAATGTTCGAATTCAAATCGTATCAACAATTAATTGAATGTCCATATTTAAGATTTTTACCCCTGAGGGCAACAACATTTTGTTACTTCCCAATAGTCCGTCACATTTACACACAAAGAAGAATTCAAAACTTGGATCTTTGACTAATTATATATATTTATATATATATGTATATATTTCTTTCTTCATTTTTTCCCATTTCAATACACGTTTACACAATATATTTAATATACAAATAAATAAACGTATAGTTTATATTTATAAATTAATTGATTAATAAATGCATAGCCTGTAGTATAATTATATTTGTAAAGTATAACCGGTTTCGGATTAAAAATTAATCATCAAACGGATACAAAGTCAAGAAAATCGTGGCTAAACAATGTATTCATAAAAAATCAATTATAATAGTTTTATAATACCATAACACACGCTATAATAGGCATAGTTTGATAAAAGCAACAACAAAAGATTTATTCGATTCGTTCTACGTACACGTGATCTCGCGATCCGTATAATATTATTGAGTTTATCGCATAGGTGGCGATGGTTGAGCTGCAGATCAACGAGCCGACCATGGTGCCGGAATGGCTGTTCATTATGTTCGCGGTGTGCACAACCGTGCTGGTGGCCGTGCACATATTCGCACTGATGATCAGCACGTACCTGTTGCCGAACGTGGACGCCATCAGCAAGCTGCAGAGCACCAAACTGATCCAGGAGTCGCCACACGAGCGCATGCGTGGCTTCGTCGAACTGGCCTGGGCGTTCTCCACCGTGCTCGGACTGTTCCTTTTCCTGGTCGAGGTAGCCATTCTGTGTTGGGTCAAATTCTGGGACCATTCGTTCCGGGCCGCTATGGCCGCGACCATAATCGTCATACCGGTACTGGTCATTTTCGTGTTCTTCGTGTTCCACTTCTACCGGAACCTGGTCGTGTACAAGTGCAAGTCCACCGTGTCCGACATCAAGGAACTGGAGGCCATGAAGAAGAAACTGGACGCCGCTGGCAAAACGAACGTCGTCTGATCACCACCGCAACCGATGGGTTTCATAATTTATTCGTTTCATCTTTATAATTTTTATAAATCATATTATTATTATCATTGTTGCTATAATTATTATTATTTATTACTATATTATCTCACGCGCATTCCACGCAACGTCACTGTTTACGCATATATACATCTTTATATATTGTATATCACTCCCTGGAAGCGAACAAACACACACCCTTAGATGAGGGTTTTTTTCATCTAGTCAGGAATAGAGAGGTGTTTTCGTGGGGTAATATATGACTGATCACGCACGAAAATCGATCCTGTCCCTTGAACCAAGGTTTTAAAATATTAGTCGATTAGTTAATAGCGATCAAATACAATTCGTCTATTGGCGTAAAATAAAATTACCCTCTCTTTTTCCCTTCCCTTCCCTTTGAAAAAATCCTGAAAACTCTATTGTCAGACAGTCCTTGTGTACTCGTATAATCCGTACGTAAACGTAATCCACTGCGTTTATTTATACTAATGCGCACACAACGTGTGTAATCTACTATTACGAAGACTTCGATATTCGATATAATAGTAAATTGAACTTGAAAAACTTGAAAACTACATATATTACGCCATTCACTTACTATAATATAGTAACCATTCGGACTTGGAAAAACATGTTCGATAATTTCTATTAGATAATTTTTTATATTCTTGGTTCCTTTTTAATTTTAAAATAAACCTAAATAACTTGACCAAAGCGCCCGGAGAAACTATTCCATATCTTTAAATCTCTATCTTAAGATTATATATTAATTTTCTGTCCCAAAAACCATCATTCGTTTCGAAAAAGTTATGTGTATTCATTTGAATATAGTTTTTTTTTAATCATTTTACAACGCACTTGCACGTATAATGCACCTATAACGTAATATTTATAGACTTGAGATTCATTTTCATTGCGTCTTGAATAAGTGGATATCTCGTAAAATCAAACCGCGAGATAAGATATCCTAACAATAGCTCATCGTACTCGTATAGTAACTAGCAGTAATAAGTGTACTAGGTAATTATATTGTGTAGGTGTGTATGTGTGTGTGTGTTGAAATAGACAGATTGGATGAATTGAACAAATTTATTTTTATTAATCTTAAGCTAAGATATAGAAACGAATATATTTGATTAAATATCACAATATATATAGGTTTAGGTATAGGCGTATCTGAGTAGTTTTGGCAGGTCATTATATACTTCATTTTGTTATCAGTTCAGAATCATGTATTAGGCATATTATTAACCAATGTTGTATATCGTTACTAATGAAGGTGTATAGATAGAATTTTTTTCATGCAAAATATTTTGAATATTTCTTATACGATTTAGATTTCAAAAAAATTAGGTTATCATGTCTGTATAATTTTTTTGCTTTATTGAAAAGTAAATTATTTCTGAGCATTTTTTTATTGAAAAATTATTATTGTTATGGAAACTTACAGGAAAATTGACTGAGTATTATTATATTCTAACCTGTCCACGTTGATAAAAAGCGAGCCAGGCAAAAATTACAAAAACCATGTAGATCAACGAAAATCCATTTTAAAAATAAATAATCACAAAACGGTTTACAATTTTCAACATTCAAATAGCTGTTGAGAATTTGAAGGAAAAATCCTCTGTTGATCTGACAAGCCAATGCTTGGGCACAGTGTAGATAACAATTATTGTGGACACACTTATGTGGTTGTAGGTGCATATAATTCACAATGCACATGCGCTTATGCAGTAGATGCGCGAAAAAAGACAAAAACATAGCCACTACTTATCAAAGTACTGATGCGTAACCCAAAATACGTACTAAAATAATATATGTATGTATATATATTATGACTATAGAATATATTATATTGTTCGTTTAATTATTTGTTTTTTTTTTAGATTTATATTCAATAATATAGACTATAATAGTTCAATAATGTAGGATGTGTGGTATATAATAATAATGTATAATCATTTATTTGTTGAAAGCTTTTGTTTTTATTTCACGGTGTAGTCCTTTATTTTGTTTTCTAACGATAAACGTTTTTTTATGGTTTAATTATTTTGCAAAGTTTTAAGTTATTTTTCGATCGGATGAATACATTTTTTTCGCAAATAGCGGACATCACCCCTGATTTTATGTATTTGTGAGCCATATATCGTGCTTATATGAGTTCCGACAATTGTACATATAACACGCGTCATATTATTTACACCCAGATTACACAGGAAAATAATCGTATAAGTTTTAAAATTACTGGCGAAATTCGTCTTACATATGTATCTGTTGATGAGGCACAACAAACATTGCTACGATGACAAATTATCTTCGCATATCCGCCCTAATACGTAACATAATATACACGTGTGGGACCATTAATTTGGAATATAAATTATTTATTTAGCAAAGTGTATCTACAATTTCAAACAACATTCGCCGAGTTTTTACAATATCACGTTTCAAGCTCTACATTTTTTGTCCTCTTTGCACATATTATTATTAAATAGTAAAATATTTAATTAATTTTTATAATATAAACCAAGACACGCGTTAATCGTTTATGCGTGTAGGCCGTATGCTAATTATTTTATTTTTACTTAAACAACGCTTAAAAGTTGAAATACGTATATTCCCAATCAATAATATTCGCGATCGGTGGCAGGTATGATATTTTTCAAATTTACTAATGTAATTCGAATGGGAATAGCATTATTATCAAAATTGCAGCGTAGTTATGGGTCAAGTTAATGCGACACTTCACTATTAAATTACGTAACAGGAAAAATCGATCGATTTACGTTTGCAACCCACCTGTTGCGTTAATATAATGTAATTGTAATAGTTGACCAATTGACCACCCGATGCTATACAAAGGCTTTAAATCCATTTTTTTTTATGGCGGTTACGTTAACTATTAAGTAGAATATCCTTTTACTGTATACGTCATGCTCGTAGTAATGAATATTTCAAAGCCTTTCTGCGATACCTTTGGTGCAGCGGACAAATAAAAAATATTTTTCGCTTTTCTACTGGTCGCCTATTTTTTTTCGATATTTAATGCATTTCAAAAAACACACGGTTCTTTATCCATACATAAAACAGATGTAAAATAGCTCGGGCTCAAATGATTAAATTATAATACTTAACAAAACAAATTTATATACTTATATTTTTTGTTTGTTTAAATTATTGCATGCAAGGCCCCTACATACAATTTCGAGCTCCTACACTAAATGTTTGTCCGAGCCCTTTATAAGACTTCTAAAAATACAATTTACTATTTATATATATATAACAATTTTAGGAATAATATTTGTTTTTTCATTATACCAATTAAAATTTAAGATTCATAAGCATTTCAACATTAATAATGTCTATTTTATTTTTTTATTACAATATTATTTAAATTAAAAAAGAAAAAAACAAGTGTATTTTAATTTATATTTAATATATTATTTTTAAGTTAAAATTTTGTTTTGCGGGCTTTGAGCTCAGCGAACTCAGTAATGATATCATTAAAATTGATTACCGAAGCCAATCCATTCATTTCTAGGTACCTAATCATTGGTTAATCCGCATTTTGAACTATCAAAATAACTAAATATATATAAATATAATATTATCTTACAACATTATTTAATGTAAAATAAGTATTTCTACTAAAATTTCAAAAATTAAAAATAAATTTTAAGGGGCCCCTGTACTCAAGGTCCATTAGCCCCTCCTTGTGGGAGCCCTGATTGCACGATAATTTATTTTTCACATGGTATACAAGTAATTTACACATTAATTACTAATATTAATAACGTACGTATTGACACCATCTATGTATTATATGTACGATTAATAAATATTCATACATGTAAATGTGCATTCTTCATATAATATTTATATATTTATATTTATTTATATAATTCATCGTTTAGCAGAAATCATTATTATAACTATAACAGTTATATAGAAAATAATATAATTTCTAGTTCATATAAGTATAATATTTTTAATTATATACATATAGAAATTATGATATATTATTTCGAATGCTGTACATTGATTTAAATAGTATTGATTATCAAACGTCTATGTTAATAATTCTATAATACTAATGTATGGTATACTATTCGAAGCATATATTATATAATAGTTTCAAATTTTTCAAAGTAATCAAAATTAATTCAATCTTATATAAGTGATAGGGGCGTATTTAGATTACGGGGGAGGGCTAAGGAATTTTTTCTAGGCAAAATTTCACAATACAAAGTTCTTTGGAACAAAGATAAATTGTCATATTCAAAAAACGTCTTTGAAAAGTGAATTTCAAATATATTCTGTGTTATAATTTTAATATCTCATTTTATATTAATTTTCCGGTTTGATTTTCGACTTACAGAAATATGCTTTTTATAACTTTTGTAGGAAATTTATGATTTGAATCCGAAATTTATATTAGTGATTATTCTTGATTTAAGTATTTCAACAGTGATAACAACCAAATATTTTCATGATTCAAGCTTTAAGATTGTTATTTAATTATATTTTCAATTTTTTTTTTAACACATGACAAATAAATACTTATTATTCGTAATGCTTTGTAATTTCTTCAAGCCTGAAAATATCAAATTACTAATTTTAATATATAAAACATCATATTACTGATCTGATTAATACCAATATGTTTTTAAGTTTTTTCAAACATTTCAAATTGATATTAGTAAAAAAATAACGAAAGCGATAAAAGTTATTTATTTCCTGGTAATTTTTAATACTACAAAATCCTAGATTAAATAATTGTATCTTAGAAAAATATTATGATAAAAAAAAATGCAGGATTAAGATAGTCGTCCTTATTTTGAATTAATAATAAAAAAATAAAATAAAATACCTCCACAGTTGAAACAGTTAAACTAAAATGAAGCATAAATAATTGTTACAAAAAACTGAGGAATAAGAGACATTTTTAAATACTACGAAGCACGAGCAAACAAAGAAAATACAACTGT